GAGGAGATGGGGAGGGGGGGGGGAGAGGGGGGGCGAGGGCGGGGCTTCGGCTGCGGTGCGCGGCCGGGCGCGCGGGGCCAGTCTGCGGCGCGCGGCCCGGAGGCGTGCAAGGGGTGGGGGGCGAGAGGGGGGGGAGAGATGTACACCTCAGGCGATGCTTAAGAAAACTTAAATTTTCGGCCAGAGTCTCGATTATTCTTAACGTTTCAACGTAAATCCTAAGATTTCAATAGAAGTTCTGGGTTTTTATTTAAATTCTGAGACTCTGAGTTTCTTCACCCATGATTTCTTAAGCATCTCGCAGGGTGTAGGCCTCTTAGATGGGGTCGGGGTGGATGGGTTCGGAGGATCGCTCCGCATCGCCGATCCATTGGCGATGCAGCGCCGATGCGGAGCCTGATTTTCTCCGCGCTGGCGTCGCCGATGCAGCGCCGATGTCGCCGATGTATTGCCGATGCACCGGCGATGCATCGCCGATGTGTCGGGGATGCGGCGCGACCCTCCGACCCCATCTACTCCGACCCCACGTAGGAGGCCTCTGGGAGAGGGGGGCGAGAAAGGAGGATCGGGGGGGGGGGCGAGGAAGGGGGAGGAGGAAATGGGAGGGGGGGGAGAGGAGTGGGGGGCGAGTGGGCGGAGGGGGGAGCGAGGATGGGGGTGGAGGGGGGGGGAGGGAAGCGGGGGGGCGAGATCGCAGCACTTGGGGCAACAGGTCTCCCGCGCCACCGGGCCGCACGTGCCAGGCAGGCCCTTCCCGCACAGCGGGGGGCGCCGCATGTGGAACAGGGGCTTGGCCTGTGGTTTCACATTCGCCGGGCCGCGCTGGTCATCTGCAGTGGTCCGCTCCCTCCTCCCCAAAATACAAAGGAGTGATGGGATCAGTCCTCTTAAGGGCCCTCACTTCTGCTGACACCGACCCGAGTCCTCGACTTCGGGCCATCCCCCTTCTGAGTCCCCGACGGATCCCCAGTTTGTGGAAGGCCCTCTTTGGGGGGGGGATCCTGTTTTCATTGGCCAGTGTCTACTGAGCGATTTGGTCGCGGGCCCGCCTGCCCCCGCCAGCGGAAGCGGTTCCCGTCTGGAGAAGATGTCGGGCGGCAGTGAGCAGTCCTCTCAAGGGCCCGTCTGCGCCCCCGTGCAGAAAAATGGGCATCAGCTTTGGTACGCTTTGGCTCAGGAGGGGAAAACACACAGACACACACTTAATCGTCGACCGTCGATCACCCCGAAAATATGGGAAAATATGGGAAGTGGGGGGGAAGACAATAGCCCAGAAAATATGGGAAGATATGGGGAATCTTTTTATTTGTGTGTATATTTTTGTGTGTCCTTGGGCCCCTTCAAAGGGCCCCTCTGCGCACCCGTGCAGACATGGGCATCGGCTTTGGTACGCTTTGGCATGCGCACCTGGGCGCCCACGGAAGAGCGGCGCCGCCTTGGGGCATTCCCCGCAGCCGCCCAGGAAGGAGCAGACGACGGAGCAGGTGCCAGCAGTTCACGAGGCCCGACGGAGAGAGGGGCTAGCCTTAAGTCGGGCCTGTCCCTCTACAGGGGGAATATTCAAAAAAAATGAAAGTCTTGGGACTTTTTTTGGAGTATTTTGGGGCATGTTTTGAGTATGTTTTGAGTATGTGTTTTTTCGTCGCAAATCCCCCTGTAGGGGACAGGCCCGACTTAAGGCTAGCACTGGTGTGCCGCCCTTTGAGCGTCAACGACGGCCTGGAAGTTGCCGTGAAGGGACGCCCCTATGGCCGCAGCAGGACGGAAGGCCGCATGCAGGCCGCGCGAAACCTCCAGTCGATCAGCGGTGTTGACAGTT